TCGGTTTATTGTTAATAAGGCGCGCGCGCCGCGTTTCTCGGCCCCTTTCGGCCGCCTCCGTCGGCCGCGTCTCTCTCGTACTCACTCGATGTATATACTCTACGCCTACAACTAAGGATCTGATTGTATCGCTCAATATTGACCGGTAGGTTTGTTGTTTTTTGATAATAATAAACTTAATATTGATAAACTATTTAATAAATAATGTTAATAAGAAAATAAGAATAAATGTTATATATTTTATTGGAAAATAGCATATACTCGAATAAATCAATTAACTTAAATTTTCTTAATCATTGTCATGAAAAACAATTTGATAATTTAGTTAGGGTATTAATTACAAAAACTTATTGGTAAAGAAAAACTAAACAATAGTAATGTCAGGTACATGTTTGGAAAATCAATGAAAAACTACGTAATTCAATTATTTATAAGTTATATAATGTTTTATTAGTTATTTACAATACATTAATTTATATTTTATTAATTGAATACAAAATTGTTACTTAACATCTGTATAAATATTAGTTGCAATCTTCACTTGCCGAGAAACGCGGCGAGTGCGCCTTATTAACATATGTCGGCGTAACTCTTCGAATTTTTGTTAAGGGATGTTCAAAGATTATTTATTTATTATTATTCAAAAAAATCGTTAATATCTCGAAAACGGTAGATTTTAGAGAAAAGTTGCATAGGAACTTTTTTGTTCAGGATACCCCAAAAAACCAAAAAAATTATTTCGAGCGAAAAAATCGAAAATTACGAATTTGTTTAAAAAAATTGTTTAAACAATTTTTGACCATTAGTAACGTCTGGCAACATGCGGATATGTTACAAGGGTCATTTTTTTTTGTAAGATTATGAAAAAAAAATGAGAATCATGTTCCTAACGGGAGCGACGATACAGCTAGGACTAATTTGAATTTAAAGGATTTTAGGAAAAGGTAAATGATCTCTCAGGTTTGGCTAGGATATTAGATTTTTCTCTTCTTCGGACCCTACAGACTTATTAGTTCTTGAAGTTGACAATTGAAAATCGATTTATCATTATAAAGATTTCTCAAAAATATTGCTTTTCCATAAAGTACGAGGTCTATTCAGAAAATAACCGATGGAGATATTTGGAGGGCTCAGAAGCCAATCAGTGTAAGTCACTGAATACAGAAAATGAGAAAATTGGCTAAGTATTTGTAAAACTTGTTAGAATAAAATAAAGATTCTCATAAAGATATTAGGTAATAATTATTTTTATTGAGATATAACATTGCATACATTTCAACTTTAAGAAGAAACCTTCAATGCGTAACTTAATTTCCAGAGAAAAGTGACTTACACTGATTGGCTTTAGTGGTATATGGTTGGCAGCATTGCGTTGCGCATAACCTCGTCTATAACCACAGGCTCTTGGATTGTTGATATCTCATTTAGTTTTCGTGATATTGTTATTTGAATGCAACGCGTTTAAGTGTTAGTGACGATTTTTGAAATGTGCGTTTTTCTGGAACAACGACGCAACGTAAAATTTTGCGTTAAACTGCGGAAACTTTCATGGAAACGTTGCAAGTTTTGAAACAAGCTTACGGAGATGAGGCTCTGGATCGTACGCAATGTTAAGAGTGGTTTTCAAGATTTAAAAGTGGTCGTCAGTCAACTGAAGATGATCCTCGACCAGGAAGGCCTTCGACTTCAACTAATGACTCCCAGGTTCAGAAAGTCAAAGATCTGGTGCGTGCAAATCGCCGACTGACTGACATTGCAGAAGAGGTTAGCATCTCAATTGCTAACCTCTTCTGCAATGTCAGTCCAATTGATCCAATTGGATTGGATCAATCAATTATTGGATCCTACCGACTGCGCCAGTTATTGGGTCGTTGTCTACAGGATCCAATAACTGGCGCAGTCGGTAGGATCCAATAACTTGGGAACGTCATGAAATTTTGACATGCATCGAGTTGTAGCAAAATCTGTTCCTCGCTTGATGATAGAATAACAGAAAGAAAATCGTATGGACGTTTGTCGGCAGCTCCGTGAACAATCCAACGACGATTCAAAGGATCATAATGGAAGACGAATGCTGAGTTTACGGCTGCGACTTTGAGACAAAAGTTCAATCATCACAATGGCAAAGGATCTCCACACCCCGAGAAACCACGTCCGTCTTGATCCAATGTCAAAGTGATGGTCACTGTTTTTTTTTCGACTTTAATGGAATTGCGCATTTTGAATTCTTGCTTCAAGGTGTAACAATGAATTGTGTATACTATCAAGGCCTTTTACAACAGTTACGTGAAAAAAAAAGGCAAATAGTGTTGTGATGAGACAACTCATGATTATTGACCCCCATGACAATGCGCCCGTACGCTCAGCTTTGTCCATTCGTCGGTTTTGTACCAAAAATCAAATTGTTATTCTCCCTCACCCTCCATACTCGCCAGACCTGGCTCCTTGCGATTTTTTCTAATTTTCGAAATTAAAATCAGTGCTGAAAGGACGCCGTTCTCCGACTATTGATGACATCCAAGCAAATTCGTCACAGATTTTAAATAAAACTATCCAGGACTGCTTCGCAAAATGGAAACATCTGGAAATAATATGTGAATAGGGGAGAGGAATTTTTTGAAGGAGACAATGTATAAAATTAATAATAAATTAAAAAAAATAAAGTTCGGTTATTTTCTGAACAGACCTCTAACTTTCGTATTATATTTTCGTTGTTTCAATAGCAAAATATCAGTAGCAACTAACAACATAGCTATAATAATCAATTCTGTCTAGTTTCATTAACATTTATTAGACTTTAGCAATGAAAAGACCCTCCAAATAAAAAAATTCTGTTATAAATGCTGGGTCACAACTGTAATCCTTCACCCCCTATTCTGCTAAATCTTTGATTTCGGTAATCTATCACTTGGCTATCGTTAATGGATAGTGATTATTGAACCACATTTATCACAGGACTAAACGGAGCTAAACGGAGGGCATTCCAGTAATCTTTTTGTCCAGTCTGTAAGAAATAAAAGTCATTCCTTCTGACCGTCAACATTCATAGAACGACACAGGCTTTTTTAACTTTGGCATTTATCTTCTGCAAATTAAATAGTCCTTACTATAAATAAGTAAATAGAAAGTCTGAGTTTTGATTCGTTTCGCAGATATTTAAATGTTACAATATTTTAATCCAAAAAAATAGACAATTCTGAGATTTCTGAAATATTTCTATTCATTAATTAGCTCACTTTTCCGTATGTTGGTGGATAATTTATAAATTCTTTGTCTAAAAAGCAACTGACAAATAATTTTAGTCTAGTTTTAACTGACCTTTTAAATTTATTTTGGACCATGTTGATTTAGTTTTAGGTTTATATTATTATAATTATGTGTATTACATATCGTTGGCTTGGAGCAAGACTGCTACATCTCAAAATATTCATATTTTTCAGGAGAAGCAGTTGAATGTTAGGCTTCGCACGTTTAATTTTATTTCCTAATTGCTATTAAACTTATGGGTATAATACTCAGGAATTTTGATCTTTAGACCTTTCTTATCATAGTAAATTTAATTGTTCTTGGTTAGCTTCGTTTAATTAATTGCCAATTGCCAGATGAAACAGTTTTGCTAATAAGAATGAGATTGAAGCCGCGGGATTTTTGTAAGTTAAAATGATACAGCATTTGTTAGGACATATTTTATTAGTTAAAATGAACAAAAATATAAACCCTTAATTTTAAAAACCAAAAACGTATTCAACTAAAAACACAAATAAATTCTTCAAATAAAATAAACAAGTATTATCTTTGAAAGTAGAGAAATAAATTTTACTTAGTTTATCAAAGTTAGGTTTAGCCATTAAAAAATCGTTCTAAATAAGTAGTACCTCTGTTACTAAATATTGTTAGTAGACAAAATTAAACATAGGTGCAAATAAAAATAAACCTCACTAAAAACTAGCTATAAAAATACGCTCAAAAAGAAGTTCACTGAGTGTGATAACTCAAAATTGCCAATTTTCGAGGCGTAGCAGTCTTGCTCCAACCCAACGATATGACGTATAAGAATATAGTATCCAATTTATTAAACACAAATATGAAAATGGTATATTTATTTAAAAAATAATTCAAAACACTTTTTTAAAGAAATTATTACACATAAGTATGCACAAAAAATATAACACAGAGTATAATAGAATATAATAAAGACAAAAAAAGGGAGAATAAGAGAAAAATAATACCTAATTATGTTTTAAACAGCATTAATATACAGTACGCCCCTAAAGTATGGAATAAATTCAGTAAAAACGAAACAAATTTTTTTTGGGAAAAATCCTGGAACAGGTCGATTTTTAAATTAAAAAATACATATTTTACCATAAAAGGCGATTTTAAACCGTCATTTGTTTTCGAGTAATGACGTCATTGCATTTTTTTTAAATAGCAACTCCCTATTTTTTTTCTTGATTCTGAAAGATCGTTTCATTGTCGATCCGACAGTATTAAAATGTTGCTATCTTGAAAGTTTTCGAGCAAATTTCCATACTTTAGGCGCGTACTGTATAAGAAACTAATTTAAAGGGAATAATCAATTTCATATTTGAAACTAATTTACTATTTTCTTCGAATCCTAATTGAATTTTCATTATCAAAAAAATTTAAATTCATATTTTTATAGTTATCAAACTACATGGTACCATTTTAACTGGTTGAATCAATTTTGACACAAACTAATAAGTAACTAATAAGTAATCTTTTGTAAACTCTGAAAGAAAATCATAGTGAGACAAATTTCTAACTACCTAACATCCTACAAATACTTTTTGTTATCTTAAATATGATGGAAGAATAGGTAATTCTACAACCCGAGATCTTGGGATCAACATTTTTCATCCCGAGATTGAGTCCCGATTCCGAAAAATGGACACCCTTGTGTTACTCAGCAAACATTGAACAAGCGTTTAAAACAAATAAAAAAGATGGTCATTGTCAATATTTCAAAAACATTACAGAGGAACAGCGTCGAAAAAGACGAAAAGTTACTAAACAACATAGAACATAAGAACCTGAAGAAGGTAATAGAAAGACAAACAAAAGGACTGACATTAAGATTGAAAATTTTAAAGACTAACTCAAATGAAGAAAAGATGAGCCAACATATTAATTGAATTCAGTGGTGGTGGGGACAGAGTAAACATTATTCTCAAATCAATCAAATATACTCGCAGAGAATTTTATTCAAAAATCATTAGTCTGGTTTGACTGTATATGAATTCTTTGTTAGAAATTATTGTAATTTAATTAAACACAATCATCAAATACCATTAGCCTAGAAATTGTGAACTTTCCACGTGTGTAAACTCCTTACAAATTCGTTTTTCCAGATCATTTTTTTTTCTCTTAAATGATTACATAGAGCCAAAAAAACCGATACTAATGCACCCCCGCCAACATTAATCACTGCAGCCCTATTTGAGTTATACAATAAATTTAAATTGTCTAATTTAGCGGATCCCGTGAAGTATAAAATCTCGTTAACTTGACGCCCGTCGCCTTATATTCAGTTTCGCTACGATCCCAAATTGACATTGGGATTTTCCTAACGAACGTCGGTTTTTGTACTCCTAAACGATATGCCCAAATCCAGAACGCGGTAGAACGACGGGGCGGGTAAAAACTTTTACGCTTCGCTATGGTACAATGAACCCTAAAATATGAAGGTTATTAATTTGAAAACGTACAACTCGGGATTTATTTTGCAGCAGTGTCTGTTTTTAGGTAATACGCGTTTCTGATGGCGCGAATTAAAGCGTTTTCATCCGGGGGTGCCCCAAATGTCCATGAAATCGAGTTCCGACGCCTTTTTTCATTAATGAAAGGGGCAAATTCACGTTTCCAGTCGGAAATGTTATTTTAACTTTAATTTGTAAAATACTTTTTCCTAAATATGATTTGCTGTTTATATAACAGATAAAAATGAAATAAAAAGTATTTAGAAATAGAAATTATTTAAGATTATCAATTTGGTTTTAGAAGTGGTCTGGTCTTTCTACTACCTATGATCTCCTCAAAGCAACAAAATTTATTGTTTTGAAAGACTTGAGAAAGCCGCTCATTGTACTGTTATGGGCTGTGATCTACCCAGGCTTTCGGCTTTGTTTGATAAATAAATTAAAAAACTGGAATATTACTTATAGGTCAAGGGAATTACCCCCAACTTTATTATTGCAATCATATTCAAAAAGATGTAAACAATTTGTTCCAATTAATGATATTAACTCATACATTCAATTGGTTTGAATTGGAGTACCACAGGGCTCCGTCCTAGGGCCACTTTTATTTTTATTTTATGTAAATGATTTAATACATTTCCTGTCAACAAACAAATGCATTCTCCTTGCTGATGATACAACTCTGTTTAATACCACTGTCAGTGTGAAATCCATGATGGACTCCATTTCGATTACTAGTTACTTGTTACTAGGCTATAAAATGATTCTCAGCAAATAATTTAACTCTCAAACCAGACAAAACTGCGCAATTGTGTTTATTACACCTTCTAGGAGTGGATATTGATGAGGGTGTTTCCTGGAAACATCATGTAAATATTCTCGATAAATTGTCAAGCGTAATATTTTTAATTAGAGAGCGAGTTTCTCAATTATGGTATTTTACGTAATGTCTATTTTAGCTTATTTCATTTGCGCATTTCATATGTGACAGCCTTTTGATAAAAAGGACTTAAATATTCAATTTACTGATTTACGCATCTCTTATAGGCGAGCGGTTCACCCCTAAAAAAAAAGGCATGAACCGACTAAATTTTTAAAACAAAAACCTACAACATTAAACTTTTTTATTTTATTGTGTATTTTTCTGATAGTTTACATATGTTTTTTATATTTTTCGGCATCGTCAATTGTTATAAACAAAAAAGTTGAAAAAAAATTATTCGCAGAATGGCTTCGAAAAGTTTTTAATTGTAAAATGGACCAAAATAAACACTTTTTGTTCTTTGACAAAAATTCGAAAAATGCTTCGTTTCCGAGATGTTTACAATTTAATGTGAAAAAAGTGACGAAATCGACAAACTTTCGGAATTTTTTTCTCAAAAACTACTGAACAAATTTTAATTCTAAAAAAAGCACAATAATCGGCACATTTTCTACTTAAAGATATATTTTTTTGGTATGGGTCAATCATTTTATTGAAGGTCTAAAGCGAGTAATAAAAAGTATTACGTAAAGAAAATTATGATAACATAATTTAAATTTTCTTTTTGGATTAAATTATACCTATTTACAATAAACATTATTATGATTTTTATAAATCGATATATGTTAATAGTACAAATGTTCAAAATACCATTTTGTTTGGTTTTGTAGCCGTAGTAAGGTTTTTGCAAGTAATTAGTAAAATTTAAATATTCGGTTTTTGGTTTTATAAATGGCTAAAATTGGCTTGAAAATTATACCAAAACTAAATTATATAAGCTTTTTAAGTCGTAAAATTAACCTAATAATAATAATTGACCTAGCGGTCTCTGGTTTGTACAGTGCTCTCGAAAAGTAACGAATAAATTCATTATTTTTTAAATTGAGAAGTTTTCGAAAAAATCCCCTGGCACGTCGATTTTGTTTTTAAAAAAGGCACTTTTTGACATCTACCCATATTTGTGACGTCATCGTTGTGCGAGATATGACGTCATCGACAATTTTTTTAAATAGTGACCCCCAATTTTGACCATGCCATTTGAAAGAGCGTGTCATTCTACATACACAGATCATGAAAAATTATGGTGTTACATAACAAAAATTTCAAGAAAATAATGTTTGAAGATTTTAAAATTTAATTTTCACAATATTGAAAATGATAATGATTATGTAAAAATCGACTAAATGGTGCACCTCCCCATTTTGCAACACCTGTTCGTGCTTATTTAGATGAGCTGTTCCCGAATCGTTGGATAGGGAGAAGGGGGCCGATAGAGTGGCCAGCCAGATCGCCTGATTTGGCACCCCTAGATTATTTCTTGTGCGGATACTTAATAAGCAAAGTATATGTTACTAAACCGGTTAATTTAGAAGATTTAAAAGCAAGAATTCATCACGTGATACGTCGTATACCTCCTGAAGTTATTGATAATGTCCAGAAATAATTTATTAATCGTCTTGACTACTGTCGGCAGCCAACGGTGCACAATTTGAACATTTAATTTAGTCGATTTTTACATTTTTCAGTATTGTGAAAATTAAATTTTAAAATCTTCAAACATTATTTTCTTGAAATTTTTGTTATGTAACACCATAATTTTTCATGATCTGTGTATGTAGCATGACACGCTCTTTCAAATGGCATGGTCAAAATTGGGGGTCGCTATTTAAAAAAATTGTCGATGACGTCATATCTCGAGCAACGATGACGTCACAAATATGGGTCGTATGTCAAAAAGTGCCTTTTTTAAAACAAAATCGACGTGCCAGGGGATTTTTTCGAAAACTTATTCGTTACTTTTCGAAAGCACTGTATATAGGCACATTGAAACTAACTGATGAACGTGAATGCAATATAATAAATTAACAAAACTGAAGAATATGTTAAACGTTAATTCGTTTATGGTGCAATTATAATTTTTAATATAGATAGCTTCAATTATTGTACGAACTTGTCTAAAACTCGTCAAATCCATAACCAATCTGTTCGTGCATACCTATAAGCGTACATGCGTATGGATATCGAGTAATGTCTTTCTGCTGTTATCAGGCGCAATAAGAGGTTATGATTAAGAACAAAAAAGTAAGGAGCTAATTTCGAAGAAACTCTTATTACTTGACGAACAGGCTAGAGTTTAATTATGTTTTTTAATATAATCAAATAATATAATTCTAATCATAAATAATAATTTTTGCATTTAAAAAAGCATGAAAATAATTGCAAAAATTATATTTAATTATTATAAATGTAGGAAAAATTATGGTTTATTTCCGCATTAGCCAATTGAATCATTAAATGTTATATATCGATTAAAAATATCCTAATAACGTGTTTACTGTAAATATAATCTAGTCCAAGATATTGTAAAAAGAAAATTTGAATTTAAAGTATTTCGCGCGCGACGTAGCGCCACTGGCCCCGCCATTTTGATGCTTATGTTTATCATGATTTTCTTTAAAAGACTGTTTTTTACTAGCTTTAGACCTTCAATAAAATAATTGACGTATAAAAAAAATATATCTTAAAGTAGAAGTTCTGCCGATTATTATGCTTTTTTAGAATTAAACTGTTCAGTAGTTTTTGAGAAAAAAATTCCGAAATTTTGTCGATTTCGTCACTTTTTTCACATTAAATTGTAAATATCTCGGAAACGAATTTTTGTCAAAGAACAAGAAGTATTTATTTTGGTCCATTTTACAATAAAAAAGCCATTATTTTTTTTACAACTTTTTTGTTTATAACAATTGACTGACCACACCGAAAAATATAAAAAAAAATATGTAAATTATCAGAAAAATACACTTTATAAAATAAAAAAGTTTCATCTTGTAGGTTTTTGTTTTAAAAATTTAGTCGTTTAGTTACCTTCATTTAGGTTTTTAAGGGTGAACCGCTCGCTTATTACATCTGTAATGAATGGCACATTGGGGCCTTTGTAATCTAGAAAGTAATGATTTAACTCATCCATTTTATAAATTTTTGCGAAGCGAAAACTTTAACTCCCCACCACTTTTCTAAAGTGACAGAATCTCAAAAACAGGCTACTAACTTGTAGAGCATCAAATTGCTTTTTCCCCTTTCAAATTTTTGGACATAGGGCAACGCCGCCTAAAATATAAATTTATTATCAACCATTATGTCCAAAGATTCTAAAAATCGACTTAAACGTTCTTTCGAGAAAACATTTTCCTAACCTTGTATACTATTCCTAAGAAATTACTCCTTTAGTAAAGCATATATCTCATTAAACTCTGGTGCACGTATGAGAACTAAAATATGTAATATAATCTACCTGTATGAAGGGTGCTATATGAGAGATGCACACTTACATCACACGTTTTGCAATATGAAAATGGGTACATGGAATTCAGACATAATTAAATTAGTTCCGAGCTGTAGTTCGTCTCTCTGCACGTAAACTTATTTGCCCATTTCGAAAACTGGGTCACGTCTT